CGGGATGTTTACAGTCAAAATGCGGGATTTTCATCCAGTTTACTGGCTTAGTTTATGGGTAGATATTCGAAGCCACATGGTCACGTTTTAGTCCTGAAATTTCTTATCGTGAATAGGTTTTCTTTCTGGTCTTTTCCAAGTTCCGCTGTGCTTACCGTTAATGTTTGATCACTGCCCAATAGCATCCGAGATCGGTCTATTCAACTTAATGGTATGCTTACTAGCAGTTGCTGTGGGTCTTTACGAAAAAAAGATATCGCTATCATCCAATCTGGTGTCTCAGCGATCTCACAAGCTGCCCGTTCTCGAAGTTACTGTCAGGAGTGTCCAACTACTCGATTAGACTTTTGAATAAGGGTCCTATTTTGGTACTCCGTTTGTCGATATTTCACAATATACCTATGAAACAACGCCATTTCGTATCGTGCATATTGTGTTGTTTGTTCTTGTGAGCTTGCATCGGTCGCTACAAATGATTGACCCTATTTAAGGGGCTTTTGATGATCATGATCTTATGTTAAGTTTCTTCGATTTACTACCGAAATTGATCAATACATATTTACTTGTTTTCGTGTAAACGTGCTCTCCGTTTTTGCTTTCAGAATCTTTCGTGAACTCTATCTACATTACCTTTGTTTTTTCTAAGCTGAGAAATCCCCATTTACCAAATTATTTATTTTGATTTCATATTCAGACACCGAAGTGGTCACCACAACCGAAGAGTCGGACGAGCACGTGATGCAAGAGGTTGCGATCGAAAACGCCACACGTATCCGAGAATTACAGCTTGAGGTTGATGGTTTACACGTGCGTTTAGACGCTGCCCGTAAGCAGACAGAGCAAATGCGTGAACTGTCAACGGAGGCGGAAAACCGTCTCGTGGAAGCTGTCGAGGAAAACAAACAATTGGAACAACGTCTCTCGCAAGAGTTGAGCGAGAATAAACAAAGTGAGTCTGCTAAGCTTGCGGCATGAACAAGTGCTTGCAATCCACAAAATGTTCTGCCTCAACGGCCCGGCTCGTTCGGTTGGCATACGTTGGGGAAAGTATTTTCTTCAGTCATTGACTAGCTCAGTCGGATGACCTTATGAAGTTCGCGTAGCACGATTGAATTCGGGCAACCAGGGTACTGAGTTCATCTCTTCGAACTGGAGCACCTGATGGGTCTGTTCCCGATAATATATATACTACTTATTATCAAATAATCTACCAAGACCATCAGGTCACGTTTGTTGCAGTTAGTAGCATCTAACCCACTTACAAAACATCGAATCATAGCATTGGTTCTTCGTTGGACTGGCTCTGAAAGAGCTGTCTATCCAATGGTCACCCGGTGTTGCAAACACGGTTATTGTGACGAAAATACACTTCCTGGGTACAAGTAT